ATCAGGGTAATACACCCTTTCCTCACTTATCAACATGGTTAGGTTTCAAAGAGCAGGTCATTATGTGAAATCGAAATCATTATGTGTTATGCAAAAATAAAGGATAACCACATCAGATCAAAAAATGGAGGATGACTACATGATTACACAACTGCCAAATTACATCATTACATAACTGCCAAACCACTGAGAATCATGGCCCAGCCAAGTTGACAAACAACCTTACCCATCAAAGCCAGCATTACTCTCACCTCACACCTCAGCATTTGTTTCTGCCAAATGTACATCATTAATGTGCACAATAGTTGGATAGTAGATTTTTTACTATTGTCGTAAATGCCAAATGTGGGATAATGAGATAGTCGGTAAGTGAGGAGAAGGTGCACTGCCCTCATACAGTGATTTAGGAAATGATCCTTCCTCTTATACTTTTTGGAAGAGTTTGGGGATTAGTATTAATTCTTCTTTAAACATTTACTAGAGTTCATCAATGAAGCCATCTGGTCCTGGGCTTTCCTCTGTTGGAAGTTTTTTGATTACTGATTTAATGTCTTCATCAGAGGTCTAATCAGATTTTTGATTTGTAAGTTTTGCAGCTTGTGTTTCTAAAAATTTGACTATTTCATCTAGCTTGTCTAATTTGCTGGCATAAACTGTTCATAATATTCTTTTTATCATCCATTTTATTTCTGTGAGGCCAGCTGTATTGTCCATACTTTTACTCCTGATTTTAGTAATTTGAATCTCTTCTTGTTTTTTTTTCCCCTTGGTCACTCTAGCTTATGGCTAAAGGTTTGTTGATTTTTTTCAACCAACCAACTTTTGGTTTTGGTGATGCTCTCTATTATCTTTCTATTCTCTATTTCGTTTATCTCTGCTCTAATCTTTATTTCCTTTCTTCTGCTTGCTTGGGTTTACTTGGCTCTTATTTTTCCAAAGTCTTAAAGCGGAAGGCTAGGTTATTGATTTGAGATTATTTTATTAATGTAGGAGTTAGTCACAAATTTCCATCTGATCACTACTTTCATTGCATCCCATTAGTTTTATATATTCTTTTTGTTTTTATTCATCTTAAAGTATTTTCTAATTTGACTTGTGATTTCTTCTTTGACTCATTGGTTGTTTAAGAGTAAACTTTTACTTCACATATCTGAGAATTTTCTAGATTTCCTTCTATTATTGATTTATTATTTCATTACATTTTGTTTTTTCTTTTTCTTTTTTTATATATTTTATTGTACTTCAGGTGAAGGCTTACAGAACATATAGTTTCTCATGAAACAGTAGTACACATGTTGTTTTATGACATTGGTTAACAACCCCACAACATATTAACCTTCTAACTTCTCAACTTTTTTTTTTTTTTTTGGTGAAAATACACATAGCCAAAGATACACCATTTCAAAAATTTCTACATACACAGTTCAGTGACATTGACTACACTCTTCCAATTGTGCTGTTATTCTCACTTAAGATGAAGGCTTACAGAACAAAATAGTTTCTCATTTAACAGTTACTACAAATGTTGCCCTATGACAATGGTTAACAATCTCACAACACATCAACAATATCACAAATTGCCGGCACTCTGCAGCCCCTCAGGAAGAAGCAAAGGTGGCGCATGGAGCCAGGCACTCGAGTGAAAGGCGGGGGAGGTGGCAAGAGGCAAGTGAGGCAAAAGAAGCAGAAAAAAAAAGCAACACTAGCAGCCAACAAATGGCACCCAGAGAGCTGCCTGCTTGGGTGTGTGGAATCCAAGCAGCCGGCGCTTCCTGGTCAAGAGACCGTGGCTGCGGGAAGCAGAGGAGGCCGAGCCGGGGCGAAGAGGTGTGGGGGGTGAAAAAGCGCACACTGCAAATTACTGGTTGTTTTGTCTCCCGCTGGATGCTCCGTGAGGCTGCTTTCTCGTGCCCCTGTTTGCTGGTCTCTGATAGGAGTCCAAGATGGTGGATCCGCACTGCATTAGCTGGTAGGGGACCTCTGCATGAATCTCTCCTTCCTCTCTGTTCTGTCAGTTTTCTCACTCCATTTGGTGCTTGGCTGAGTTCTTTATCTCTTCATTTGATATTTTAGGGTTTCAGGATTGTTGTATTCTCTGTTCGGCTTAGTTTTTCGGATCTTTGCTGTGGAGGGACAGCGTGGTGCTTCTGCCTAGAGCGCCATTTTGCCGGAACCTCCTATTTCATTACATTTTGGTCAGAGATTTTCATGACTTCAATCTTTTAAAATTCATTGAGAATTGTTTTATGGCCTAACATATGATCTATCCTAGAGTATGTTCCATGTGAACTTGAGAAGAATGTGTATCCTTTTGTTGTTGGGGAGTGTTCTATGTATGTTTTAAGTACAGTTGGCTTACAGTGTTATTCCAGTTTTCTATTTCCTTGGTTATTTTTGGTCTAGTTGTTCTTTCCAAAGTGGAGTGCTGAAGTCTCTAAATACTATCGTTCAACTATTTCTCCTTTCAGTTATGTCAGTCTTTGCTTCATGTATTTTGGGACTCTCTTTTTAGGTACATATATAACTGCTTTATCTTCTTGATGGACTGATCCATTTATTATTACATAGTGTCTTTACTGGACATGTAGGTTCATGTCTTTCAACAAATTTGGTATTTTTCCAGCATTATTTCTTAAAATATTCTTTTTGCCCTTTCTCTGTCTACACTCCATCTCGCTGTTATGCATATGTTGGTATGCTTCACAGGGTTTCACAATTCTCTTAGGCTCTACCTTGTTTTGTATATTTGACTTTGGATTCACATAATTATTTTACATAATTATAAAAAATTAAGATATTAAAAAGAGCAATACCTAAACAAATTATTCTCAGTCATCATAAACTTGCCCAGTCCAACATACATGTGAAGAAGCTAAGATTTGAATTCAGGTTGCCTAACTACAGATAATACAACCTTAACCATTACACTAAACTGTGTAGTATGAAAAGGCCTAAGTAAGTAAAGCACCTAACAAAAATATAAACATTAGCTACTTCCACTACTAAAACCTTACTTGGTAAACAAAATGTATTATCTTGCCATCTTTGTTCTAGATCCATACAATGGGTTCACTACATCTAATAAGTGAAAACTGAATAAATCAAAACTATAAATATGAATATTTGACCAACACGTCTACTTTCTGAATAATGATGGGGGAAGATGTACATAATAAAGTTATGTTACATTTTTTTATAAAATAAAGGTTTGATAAACAGACTCATTTTTGTTTGCCTTAAGAAACACACCTATCTGTCAGTTTTTCATACTGTGTTGGCTTATGTAGTGCTATGATGCTGGATGCTATGCCACCAGTATTTCAAATACCAGCAGGGTCACCCATGGTAGACAGGTTTCAGCAGAGCTTCCAGACTAAGACAGATTAGGAAGAAAGGCCTGGTGATCTACTTCCAAAAATTAGCTAATGAAAATCCTATAGATTAAGACAAAATATTGTCCAACTGGACTCAAACATGCCAATGATCGTGAAGATAGTGCAGCACCAGCCAACATTTGGTTGTTATACAGAGGGTTGCCATGAGTCAAAGCTGACTCAACAGCAACTAACAACAACAAAAGAAACACAAATGTATTCTTTGCCCTCAACAAGGGCAACCCAGTTACCTGAGTAAAAGTGTTTATCGAAACTAACATAACACCTACTCTATTTACTACTGTTACCATCACTACTTATCCACTCATATCAGATATACACTTGTCTCAGAGTCCCATATCCTATTTGTTAGTAACTCCTGAACACTTTGCGTCTCTAAATATTACCTTAAATCCAACTACCACTCTATAGTTCCATTGTCACTGCCTCAGTCTGCACCTGTATTTCCTACCTAGACCACCTAACAGCCAGGCTAGTCTTTTTCTGTCTCTATTCTTATCCATTTTCCATTATGCCTCCAGTGTTTTTACTAAAAATTCACTGAATACTGGCACAGCTTTGCTGATATCAATTATTAAGTGGCTTCCCATCATCTACAGTAGTGATTTTTCAATATATATTCCTAGAAGACTCAAGATTCAGTAGAATTGCCTTAGGGGTCCTTAAGGGTGATAAGGTTAGATGGGTAAGGTTCCCTTGTCATCCCTGTTCTTCAACTTTCAACTACAGTTGCTCAATTTGTTTACAGGTCTCTGTAAGTTTGTTTGTAAAAAAGGACTTCCCAAACACAAGCTCTTCAAGCTGTTGCCCCAACCTATTATACAGATTGAATTTTGTGCTACTGCTTTTCATAAAGCCTATACATCCAACCACTTCTAAGTCTTCAGTTTGATGAATAAGAGATATTGTTTCATGTCTTTATCCTCTGAATAGCTATTTCTTCTACCTGCAATGTTATTCTCCCCATGTCTTAGGAAACCTCTAAAATAACCTTTAAGACTCAGCTTAGAGATAACAAAAATCTATGAAGACCCTAGGCAGTTTCTTCTTTCCTATTCTCTGTTCTTACAGTACTTTGTACACTCCTCTATTACAACCTCCACCATTTATTATTTTCCCCATCATTTACTAACACCTGTGACCTTGGATAAATAACCTCTCTGAGGTGTTGGTTTTCTCATCTGTGAAGGGGGAAAAGTATATCTAGCTCACAGAGATGTTGGGAGAGTTAAATGTGGCAATACACAAAATGGCTTAGAAGAGTGCCTGGTACATTTGATTTATTCAAATGTTAGATATAACTATTTTTACTATTAATATCATCACTTGTCTATATGGATCTATTCAACTGTGACTCTGAGGGCTTATTTATACAACCCTAACACATAGCTCATAGTTAGAACTCAACGTCGGAAGGAACTGATCTACATTCTATAATATGCAGTATGAACAAACCAAAAATCCCAGTGCCGTCGGGTCAATTTCAACTCATAGTGACCCTATGGGACAGGGTAGAACTGCCACATAGAGTTTCCAAGGTATGATTATGATTATTCAATTAATGATATCCTCAGGTTAAATTTATTATTTTGTTTCCCACTGTCTTCTGCTCCTTCTTTTTGCAAGAGATATTATGTAATATGAAAATTCTAATTTCCTTAGAGTATGCTTTTTGTAGCAGATTAAAACAAGATAAAAAGTTTAACATTTGGTTTATTTAGCAGTTAGAGGCAATTTCCTTCAACCTCATGTATTTCAACAGATTTGTCTAATTAGAATAGATCCCACCTATATAAAATATATACATATACATATATACACACGTACCTATGAAATTACATTATAGACAAGACTATAATCATTTAAAGGGAAAAAGTCTTTATTTGGAAATTTTAGAATTTAATATGTATCAGGGAATTAAAAATCCCTGAAGTTTCTGCTTTTCCTAGTTTATTCCCTTTTGATAACATGTTGCTTTCTATATACAGTCAGAAAAAAGAAAGGGGAGAAATTGTTGCAGTTTTATTTTCAGTTTCAAAACTGCTTGTTTCATATGCTTGAGACATAAATTTTAAATTGTGTATATGAATACAAAGATTAGCACAGGTTCTTTAAACACTGATGAAATCCTTTAACAATATAATAAATATTTTAAAATCAAATTTCCTATTTTTACAGCACACTGAAAAACTAAGCTCATAAAAAAATACATAGGAAAATATAATAGTTAATGATTTCACTGTTCTGTAAGTTATTGGCTGTTCACATCACTCAAAAATAATCCACATACAATGTAGCAAAAAGATCTATATTAATTATAACATTTCCTTCAGTTAATAGTTTACTCACTGTGATTCACAGAAGCTCCATGAAAGATCATCACTTAAGGAACTCTCCATGTTAGAATCAACCAAATTTGGAGCACTTGGTCAAAGAAGCATGAATATGCAAGGTCCTGGCACAATGAGTGGATATAAATAACCCACAGGCTGGTATACTTCTGATAAAGACAATCTTAACTAAACTCCACAGCAACCTTTTGGGCAAATGGTATCTTACTCTTATAAAAGAAAAGTCTTTACTGCTGAGGGCACTGGGTCTCTGGAGTTGATTTGGAGGACACGTATAGAATAGGGTGTGATTTCTTACAAGTTTCCTTTTCCAATTTGCTTGCAGTTTCTTTCCCTTCTTTAACTTCTGTTTGAAGCCTTGATTCAGCAGTTAACCTACAGGCATTAAAGTATCCACTCTGAATTCAAATGTGATTAAGAAAAACTAAAGAAGAAACAAACCCCCAGGGTAACGGGCCTCCTTTGAGGCATGGTAATTTTTTTTTAGGTATACAATAAAAAATAATTCTAGTCGACTCCAATTCCATTAAGAAAATGAGGTCACTGCCTCTCTTAAAAAGCCTTTTTATATAAATAGGCTTAATTTTTAAAATGTCTAAAGGAATACTTTTAAAAATGATAAAAAATCATGGCAAGGTCTAAATTAAATAATTAAAATATCATCAGGTGCTTAACACAAAAATTAAAATGCTAGATCAATATTTTAATGTTAACAGAACATATAAAGGCTAAAAGTAAGATAAAAATAACACAGAATCTTGGGCTGCACGAACAGCTGTCTAACTACTTGTCTCATGAAAAAACCCAAATTGAGTTTTAACTAGGAGAATAATAGTTTAAGAAATATAAACAGAGGTAAAATATTAAAAAGGCCTATAGCAAGGATAACAAATTATAAAGCATGCAATAGTGAATTCCCAAGAAAACCCTTTTTATTATTATAAAATTATCTTAGAATTGTATATCTAAGTTAAGCATGCAGAAAACAAAAAGTTGGAAACGTCTTAAGTTAGGAGATGGACTCACACACACACAAAAACAAATGTTTTGTGGCATTTTATTTGTTTTTGTTTAACCAGCAAGACAAAATCCCAACATGCTACTTAAGTCAATCAAGTAGCTCCATACATTTGCTTAGTAATTTTTAATCAAGCAAAAAAGGTAGAAAAGAAATGAAGACAACACAGATAGCAAGATTTGCACCGATCAGTTTTGGAAACCACCTCCAGAAATATACAAAGGTCAAGCACATTTACACAATGAATCACATATAAACAAGCATAATCTCCTGAACTGATCTCAGAACTATTCAGTAACGTGAGTCACGTATCACTCAAAGTTACCTTTTCCTTGAGAATATTAAACTTTTACTGTTTGTGACGTATACTGCAAACAGTTTGCACTTAACTTCTAACCAAAAGATTGGTGGTTAAAATCCATTCAGCAGCACTGCAGATGAAAGACCTAGCGATCTGTTTTCATAAGATCACAGCTATTGAAAACCCTATAGAGTGCAGTCCTACTCTGACACACACAGGGCCACCAAAAGTCGGAACTGACTTGATGACAATGAGTTTGGTTGTTTTATTTAAAAATAGGTTATAATACTATTATATAAAAATTCAGGGAAGGGAGTAATAACTATTCCTTCTAATAATAATAGCAGCTAACATTGTTGAAGTGCTTCCATTGTTGGGTACTACATTTACTAGCACTGAAGACTTAAAGGGAATTCAGACAAAATATACAAGCAAGCCTTTTTAGGTAAGGTGGAATATGTCTTACTATTTCAACTCAAATGCAGATTAATAAAATGTCTTATTCTGTATATAAGAGTTATATAGCCTTAGGAGCACATTAAACATCTCATTTCATAGGAAACAATCCAAGTTAACTATTTTCACATCAATAGCCTTAATTTTTTAAATGTGTAAAGTCATTTGTTTTAAATGTATCTGTCATTCCTTTGCATGTGGACATTCCTTCATCTTTTATCATTTTTTTTAAACTTTCTCCATTTTCCTCATTCACTCATTTTTTGCCTCACTCTTGGTCCTACTGTACACATCCAGAGGCTGTTCCCTATTCCACTCTAGTCCCAGATACTGTTACCTACCCTTCCCTTCTATTCACTTTCTCTTACCTTCTGAGTATTATTTTTATTTTTTTTTAAAGGACAAGGCCTTTAAAATGTAATTCCTTCAGATATATTTATGTCTGACACTTCCTTGTTTAGTCACAAACTCAATTATACAGAAACTAGAGGCTTGATATAAAATGAAAACAAATTAGCTTTGATATTTTAAAATGTCAAAATAGACATCAAAGGCCATTCCTGAAAGCTTGAGATTAAACAATTTCAAAAGCCATAAAAAATTTCACCCAACAGTTTTCTAGGAGACTGAAATTTCTTAAGACTACTAGAAAGCCCTTTTAGAAGGTAAGTTATTTTGTCTTTCATGGCCACTCTTGAACCAGAAAAAAAATTAGAGTACATTTATTCAAACCAACAACACTGTCAGAGATGTACTCTTTGATATCTTCACTTCATGAAACAGAACCATCCAATTTTCTAAAAGCATAATTCCCTTATTCAGGAGTCTTTTCCCCTTGCAGTCATTTTAGTCTTTCTTAAAGTTTTGGAAAAGTTGAAGGTAGGCAAGTGAAACTGGGGGATTATACTGCATGCAATGCTAAGAAAACAGATAAAGAAATAGAAAGCACAGTTCATGCAGCGATAGAGAAGAGATGGAGAGGTCTGCTGGTTGCCTTGAGGAAAAGAAGACACTGACCTGGGAGAGTTCAGGGTGTTTCCACTTCTTTCATTTAAAGCTTCAGAATCAACTGCAACTCCTATGAGTTTCACACGTTTCTTTTCCTTCGTTGGTTGCATATTCAGTGGCAGATTTCTGTGCGGAGAGAGACTGACTACTGGTGTGTTTACAGGAACTGTCTTTTCTAACTCTAAGTTGTCTTTTGTATTGTTAGGACAGGACTGTGGCTCCTCTTCCTGAGCTGGTAATCTATAAACTTCTTCGACAGCACTGTTGGCACATACATCTTTAGGGGTGGTTACATCCACAGGCAGTACTTCACGTCTCTTTTTCAGTACAGGCACTTCAACTTTCTCTGAGAATAAAAACCATTAAGAAATATCCAGTCAACAAATCAAAATAAAGACATAATGAATATAAAGAGGTGGAATTATATATGTTTTCCTTTTCTTCTTTTTTCATTGTTTTAAAATCCACTCATCTGAGTGAAATATACCATTTCTATCTTTTATCCTCTCTTTTTCATAAACTCCATTAACTTTATCTTTTAAAGGTTATTTAGATATAAATTTTTCCTTGGAAACACAATATATTTGGCTGTTGGGATGAACACGTAAGGGTTTTCTCATGGTAAAATTCCTGGTATTTTGATAAAAGTCATAATGGAGGTTCATAAGACCTCAGCACAGAGATGAGGATGCTATGGCAAAGAGTCAAGGAGTCCAGGTTGAAATCCTAGTAGTAGCACTTAGCAGCTCAGGGAACTTGAGCAAGTATTCTCAACTCCACTTTCTTTATCTATAAAATGGGGATGACTAGCACCCACTTCACTCAGTAATGTATATTATAAGGATTAAATGAAAAGAACAGGTCAAACTCTCTAAATATTGGTAAATTTGTGCCTATTAGCCCCACCCATAAAATTTATTCAGAATTTGAGCACTTCTAACCATGGAGACCTCCCCAGTCCAAAGCATATCATATATCACCATAGACTACTGCAAAAGCCTTCTATCCCCATGGTCTTACACCATTCTGTCCCCTACACAGGTCCATACACACTGAATTAATTCTTCTAATATCTTTTCCCTACCCCAAGCCAATGTGTTTTTCATTTTCAAAATCAAAATGTTAGTGAAGTCTAAGGAACCATGGTCAGAGGTGGGGTTCTTGTTTTTGCTCTACACTGCTGCTTTCAGATCAGTATTTCCTCTTTTTCTTATACTACTAATTGGAAACCCATATCATTTGAACATACTACCCTTCTTCCCATCTCTTTGCTGTGCTTAGTTCAGTAGACCTTTGAAATTCATAATGGATAATCCTTAATTGGGGGACCTATTAGAACTGGGAAGGAAAAGATGAATCAGAGAAAGAGAAGCCTTTTTAAACTATATAAAAACCCTACCATTTCTGACAGCCTTGCCACTGTTCCTGAGAACCACCGCAGAGTCACTGAGATGATAATGAAGAGAGGGTGTTAGGCATTTGAACAGTACAGGGGTATAGAACATTTTTTTGTGTGTCTAAGAACATCACATTCTTAGACTTCTTAACTTTTGGCTATTTTATTTTAAACTTTAATTTACGTTCAATAAGATGCAGAGGCTATTTGGTTAGTCTATTTTCTAGTAATTAGACTACTAGTTGTCCTCTAGGATCTGTTGTATTGTTCTTCCTTAATAATAGAATCCCCAATATTTAGTGGGGAATGTGACCCCTGAGAATCAAGACTGCATTTCCCAGCCTTCCTTGTAGGAAGGGGAGGCCATGTGACTAAATTCTGCTCAATGGGAAGTATGCAGACCAATAACATAGAAGGAGACTGGATCCTGACATTGTGGAGTGCTTTACCAGTACTGGAATGCTCCCTTAGACTTGTATCGGGTGATGAATAAATACTTAATCTTGTCTAAGCCCCCAGTATTTTAGATTTTCTATTACCCTCAAGCAAACTGTCTTAACTAGTATAGTTCCCAAGCATCAGCTGCCTCAACAAAATTAAATTCTTTGATGTTACATAAGATGCTGCAATCTTAAATGGAAAAGTCTCAAATGTCAAGGTTCTACTACACAGTTAAGATGAATTTAGGTATGAAAAAATACATATGATATATATACTCAGTTTTCTTTGAATTGTCCTCAACATTTTGCAGCAGTAAACTTATTAAACAATAAATATACAACCAAAAATTAGTTTGTAATGTAATTTGCTTAAAATAATAGTAAAGCAAAAAAAATAGATATGATTTCTCAGAGGCACTCATACGATTTAAAAGACAAAAATATATGAGACATACATACCTTCAGGTTCATACTTCAGTCTTAATTCATCTAGTTTAGCTCTCAGTTTCATATTTTCACTTTGGGAAAGCTGCAAGAATCTTTCATTTGCAAAAAGTTTTCGCTCAATATCTAGAGCCCGCTGGCTCTCAAATAACGCTTTCATTCGTTGTAAGGATAGTTCACCTTTAGTGCTTTCATTTTCTTTGCTATAATAATAAGAAAGAAGAACGAACGAGTATTAAAATAACATATAATATAAATGTACAGACCAGTTAACATGAATCTTTTAATGTGTATTTGAACTCTTAGTTAAAAATACAGTTCTCTGAGGCTTTTAGTACCAAAGAAATAACAAACAATTAAAATAAGCTTTAACAATATCACTCCCATATAAAAAAATCTCATGAACTCTTTAAAGGTAATGGACAAAAGGAGAAAATATTCACTCCCAAATTTATGCATGCATATACAAATTCCTTTAAATTTTAAATTACATTCTATTTATTCTTGAGAAATTTGGACTATAAGAACATTTTCTATGTTAAAGTTCTTTTCACTGAACAATCTAAAAAAATAAGTACAAAGAAATAAAAAACACTCAATTATTAATTGGAAGCAAGTGTTTTTTCTTCAAAGATTAGCCTAATTATCTCTTAAATAATCTCATGTACTGCACACAAAGATATCTTTGTTATCTTTCTTTTCTGGAATTGTCTTTTGGCAATTTCAAAAAAAATTTGCAGCTACTAATAATACCTACTACAAGCTAGTTAAAAGAGTCTCCATTTCTCCATTCACCTGGCCCAGGCACTTACTTTAAGTTGTCAAGCTTTATCTGTAGTAAATCGGTATAGTAGGTGTTATCTTCCAGGACACCAGAGTTGGCTGAAGGCTTAGATTCCATACTTTCATATAAACTCTAAAGAAAGCACCAATTCTTGTTAGTTCCAATAAGCAACAAATTAGGTTAGCATACGTTTATTAATTAAAAAAAAAAAAAAATCAAACCTGTTGCCGTCAAGTCGATTCTGACTCATAGTTATCCTACCGCACAGAGTAGAACTGCCCCACAGGGCTTCCAAGGGACAGCTGATGGATTTGAACTGCCAACCTTTTGGTTAGCAGCCTGAGCTCTTAACCACTGCACCACCAGGGCTCCATTAAGAATAACAGCAGCTACCATTTATCGAATGCTTATTGTATGGCAGGCACTGTGCTAAGCTCTATGCACTTACTCTGAGGTAGGTACAAGTATTAGTATTCCTCTCTTATGGATGAGAAAACTGGCTCCAAAAGCCACAGGCTAATAAATGGAGAAGAGAGAATCTGAAACCAGATCTGACTACGAAGCCTGGGTTCCTAACCACACCTACACCCTATGGTGTCCCTTTCCTGGCCTTTAAAATGGAAGAAATAAATGCTCACGGGGCTTAATTCTGGCCTTTATGACAATGTCATAAATTAGAAAAATATGAGAAAGAGTAGAGTGGAGATCCTTAAGGTTTTTTAAGTGTTCACTTTTCGGAGATTCCGATGGAAACTTTATACAACTTCTCTAGGGGGAAAAATGTAAATCTGCTTAAAAACTTGCAAACAATTTCAGAAACTGCAGGTTCAAAAAACTCTGGTTTAAAGCCATAATTTTCAAAGTATACTACTGGGCCACATAGCTGCGTAAGTGATGTGCTGAAAATTTAACCAAAATTGTAGTTCTTTCACTAGTTCTTACAGAAGATGGTAATAAAATAAACTTAAAATTCTATGATACACTTATAGCTCCAATTTAGAATGTCTAAGAAAGTTTACCAAAATTTGTCATTTATAAACTTCAATTACAACAGTTCATATTAACGTTTACTGAGAAGATACCAGTGATCCCTACGCTGATCAATAAATTTAATGCAATCCTAAGGAAAATGTCAATAAGCTTTTTCTGGAGCTCGACAAGATGTTTATAGAGCAAACACAGAAGAACAGCCAGGAAAACACTGAAATAGAAAAGTTATAATGGAGAGAAGGCCTACCAGACACAACAAACTAAAAAACCTCTATAATTAAAACAATGTGGTATTAACGCACAGACAAGCAGACCAGTGGAGCAGAACAGAAAATCCAAAAGAGACTCAAGTATATATGGAAATCTGACATATGAAAAAGGTGGTGTCTCAAATTACTGGGGCCAATATAGATTTTTTAATAAATGAAGCTGGGAAAATTGGTTATTTGTAAAACGATAAAATTAGATTTATACCTTGTACATAATTTAAAAGAAAAAACTTCAGTGGGGATCAGGTCTCTAAATGTAAAAAGTGAAACCATACAAATACTGGAAGAAAACATTGGTAAATTCCTCTATAACCCGGGGTGTAGAGGCAGGATTTCTAGTTACGATTCAAAATCCAGATTCAGTGTAAGAAGAAAAGATTGATAAATTTGACTACATACAAAAACAAAAACTTCAACATGGCAAAAACAAACAAGAAAACACTACTACAAACAAAGTAAAAAAATAACTAATAATCTGGGAGAAAATATTTGCAAGATATATCACAGAGAAAGGGCTAATACCCCTAATATTTTATAAAGAACTCTCAAAACTCAGGGGAAAAAAGACTCACAAAACCCAAACAGAAGCATGAGCAACAGACATGAAAAATTCACACACACCCACACATGCAAGTAAATAAATTGCTTACATATATGAAAAGATGTTTAACCTCATTCATACTTACAGAAATGCAAACTAAGACTACCCTGAGATACTACTTCTTATCGATCAGACTGGCAATAGTTAAAAAGGATAACACATTATAATGGAGAGGTTATGGAGAAAAAAGCACTCTCATACACTGCTGGTGGGAATGTAAATTGGTACAAGCCATGTGGAGAGTTTGGAACTGTCTAGCAAAACTATATATACATTTATTTTAAAAAAATTTTCGTGAATGCTCATAGCAGCTTTATTTGTAATAGCCAACATCTGGAAACAACCCAAACCCTCTTCAATGGGTGAATGCCAAACTATGGTACATCCACACCACGGAATAGTCTCCAGCAATAAAAAGGAATACAATAACCTGAATGAATCTCAAGGGAATCATGCTGGGTGGGAAAAAAAAAGCTGGGAAAAAAAAAAGCTACATAGAAGGATTCTATATACATACATTCTTGACAAACTATAGAGACAGAAGAAACAGAGAACAGATCAGAGGCTGCCAGGGGTTAGAGATGGGGACCAGAGTGGTATGCATTCACTTTTTGACCCAGCAATCCCACTCTAGAAATTCACCCTAAAGATACACTTATAACAATAAGAAATTGCATATGTATATAAGATGTGCTTTGTAGCACTTGTACACTTGTAAGTAACTGCAAAATATAGGAAGAAATCTAACTGGCCAGACACAGGAAAATGGTTGAATAAATTAAAACACATCCACACAACGGATTCTTCATAGCTATAAATAAAAATGAGGAAGATTTCTATAAACAGAGATGAAGTTCCAGCATATCTTGTTAAATGGAAAAAAGAAATGTACAAAAGACTACCTGTAGCATGCTAGCTTTTGCTCAAGAGAAAGAGAAAATAAAATAAATATGCAGCCACTCATTTTTGCAGAAAGAAATACAGGGTGGGTGAACCAGAAACAAATGAAATTGGCCAGCTACAAAGGATGGGTGGAAAAGAGAGAAAAGGATGGAAAGATGAGAATGAGGTAGAAGGGATACAGGAGAGGGATACTTTTCTGAGAAGATCTTGTTTTATAGTTCTGACTTTTAGAACCATTTTAGCATTTCACATACTGAAAAAAATAAATCCAACAAGGATGGGGTGGATAACAAAATAAAATACAAATAGAAACAAACCTAACTATTTCAAATGAGTAACATATTCACACCCAAGCAGGAAAAGGGAGGGGAAAAAAACAAAAACAAAACTCAAACAACCCAAGTAACTTTTGAACACAATATTTTGACTACATACTCTTAGGCTAAAAACAAAAAGTACTGCAAACAAATCCTGAACTCTAGTTAGCAGATTAGTAAGTTTCCAAAACTATGCGTATTCTTTAAAGTGTTAAAACGCAAAGATGTCACCTTGAGGACTAAGATGTGCCTGACCCAAGCCACAGTATTTTCAAATGCCTCATATGCATGTGAAAGCTGGACAATGAATAAGGAAAACCAAAGAAGAACTGATGCCTTTGAATTATAAGGCTGGTGAAGAATACTGGGTATACCATGGACTGCTAGAAGAATGAACAAATCTGTCTTGGAAGACGTTAAAGACAGAATGCTTCTTAGAAGTGAGGATGGCATTCACTTCGTCTTACTTACTTTGGACATGTTATCAGGACAGATTAGTCCCTGGAGAAGGACATTATGCTTCGTAAAGTGGAGGGTCAGCGAAAAAGAGGAAGACCCTCAACGAGATGGATTGACACAGTGACTACAACAATGGGCTCAAACATAGCAATGAATGTGAGGATGGCACAGAATTGGGCAGTGTTTCATTCTGTTGTACACAGGGTCACTATGAGTCAGAACTAACTGGACAGCACCTAACAACAACACGCGTATTCTAGGATTGAGCAAATAAGCAAATATATTGAGGACAGGTTTCTGTCGGAAAGGGTAGGCAATGAACTCCGTGGTATTATATTCAAACTGGAGTTATCAGTATGAATTCAAGGTTTTAATTATGTGTATCTATAGATACATACATACATAAACATACATAAATATACACTTACATACATAAACACACACCCATATATACTCCTAACGCTGTCTACTGAGAGAGTTTAGAGGCAATGATATTCCAATAGCAATGAGCACACCTAGTGCCCAGATCTTGGTTTCTGTATACCATTCTCCACTAAACAAAACCAGTGCTCTGCAGACAAATGTTGATTTGAGGCTGGGGCAGATGAGCCAGAAATATCTTGTTTCATGAGCCAGTGTGCAATAAGGAAGTACTTAAAGAAAAAGGAGGCTCCTATTGGCCTAATCTAGAACAACGTGAACATCAGAGTATATAAGAAAAGTATAGATTTTAACCCATGGGATAAAATAAAAATCCATGAGGCTATACTGATATAAATAAACGTGACTAAATGAGAAAAAAGATTCTCTTTCCCTTCCCTTTATTTGAATTCCAATTAATAAATGTAGAAGGAATGATGGACTCACCATTAGACAATGATCACAGTGATACATATTTCAGGCAAGAATCAACAATCAATGCTCAAGTATAAGGAGAAATAAGTATTTACTTAATCTCGAAGTATCTCTCTACAAGGTATTTATTAATTACAAAGGGAAAAATTATAACTTTATAGTGGAAAAACACAGCGGGCATAACTTAAGCAAGTGATCAAAGTTAATATCATCAGTTTAGCAAAAATAGATATCATGTGCCTCCTGATGTGGTATACTGAGAATGATGTATTACTCCTGTAGTATTTCTGTCAAAACTACATATCCTGAATCTAATCATGAGAACATGTCAAACAAACCCATAATGAGGGACAATCTACTAAGTAACTGCCTGTACTCTTTAAAATATCAAAGTCATGAAAGATAAAGAAAGACTGAGGAACTGTTCCAGATTAAGGGAAACTAAACAGACTTGACAATTAAATACAACATGTGATTCTGGATTAGATCCTAGAATGGCAAACATTTGTGTTTTTGTTTGTTTTGTTATACAAGACATTAGCAGGATAATCAGCAAAATGTATAAAGTCTATAGTTAGCTAATAATATGTATCTGTTAATTTCCTGATTTTGATAATTGTACTGTGGTTATATAAGACAATGACTTCAGTATACAGAGGTACTTAGGGGTAAAGGGACATTTACTTTGGAACTTATTGTCAAATGTTTCAAAAAAATAATAATACCCATATGCATGGAAAAAAAAGACACAGACAATAATAAAGCAAATGTGGTAAAATTGAAAATTAAGAAATCTAGGTGAAAGGTATATAGGAACTCTTATACAACCTTTCTGGAAGTCTGAATTTGTTTCAAAAACATATTTTAAAGAGTTTATTAAAGATTTCTACTAAGAATTCTAGTTGCCACACAATGTTGGACAGTATGACACAGCTAGCTCCTACTGTGCATCTAATAAAAACTGGAGTAGGGTGACAGCTTTGAAAAGTAATCAATTACTGAAAACACGCAATAGAAATAAATCTCATTGACATAATGTTGAGTAGAAGACAGAAACAAGAGAGTATATACCAAATGATTCTATTTATATTAAGTAAGAGTATTTGTACATGTAATGCTCACACAGTTAGGAGTAGGGAGTACTCATTTAAAAGGGGTATGCCAGAACCTTATGGAGTGCTATTCTGTATCATGATATAGGTGGTGATTACATGGGTGTATACATATGTTAAAATGCATTGACTTCTACACTAAAGATATGAGCATCAGACTTCATAATCGAACCTATCAGGTAAAACTTACACACAATAATTAGACAATAACAACAGCTAAAATGGGGTAGGTTACTTTGACTCTACTAAAAGAAGCAACAGTCAAAACTGAAAAGCAGAAACACATCAGAAGAAAAAAATAATCTAAATATTGGGTCATTCTCAACTGAAACTAAAAGTTAATTATATAATAAAGAAACCTACTCGAATTAGAAGTATTAAGATATTCAAACCAAAATTTGGCTGCACTTCTAAAAGGTTTTACACATACCTTAAATTTCTCCAGATTTCTAATTTCACCTAAAAGATGTTTTATTTCACCATTCTTCTGCTCCAACATGGCAAACAACCGTTCCTGCTGCTCAAATTCAGTTTGAGACCCTTTCATTTGTAGCAACGTGGCTATTTGTAACTAGAAAAAAAAAAAAAAAACTTCCAATAAAAATCAGTGGGGGAGAGGACAATTTTGGAAGACAATATAAGTTGTAGAATTCATATTTTGAGCTCATTTTGGAAATTAATTATCTTTTTTAGTCTAATAATTTTAAAACATTTATACCAATAACTTTTGACAGATTCATAACACTGGAGTATTTGACTATGTACTTATGAGTGATATCTTAAGCCTATAACATGGTCATTTGTACTTTTGCTAAAATAAAATCGATGGCTGTGGTTTGGAAACAGGTCACTTAATTGATAAGTAAGCCTAGCCAAATGCTCGCTACTCCTCATGTGCACTCTCATTCAGGTTCTGAGGGGGTTTCTCAAAAATTTTTAATGAATTTCAATAGTATTAAGTAGAGGAAATTATTAAACTATTCAATTCACAAATGTGAAATTCACAAATGACAAGAACGGAAAAAGAAAGTAAAAGGCAATCTAAGGATATACCATGTCTTTATTTTTTAGAGCATCAATCAACTCACCTAATTATGACTCCACCTAAACCTGGAGTTGCACAGTAACAGGAAGGAAGTTAACAACAACAACAAAAAGTAAATCCATCACCACTGACTCAATTCTGACTCATAGTGAGGCTATCGGACAGAGGAAAACTGCCTCATAGGGCTTCCAAGGCTGTAATCTTTGTGGTGGCAGACTGCCACATCTTTCTCCCTCAGAGTGGCTTGTTGGTTTGAACTGCCAACCTTTCAGGTTAGCCGCTGAATGCTTAACCACTGCGCCACCAGGGTTCCTGGAAGGAAGTTAACTAGAATCTAAATCTAACATTCTTTTATGTCTTCAGAAACTTCTGGAATTCCAAAAAGCATCTATTAGTTTAAACATCATTTTGAGTAAAGCAAGCGAGGATGTGAGGTTGCAGGTATGTTTAAGAGGAAGACAGAAAGATGATTTTTAACATTTTAAAGTATATCCTGCTTCTCCTTGGAGGGTAGGTACATTTTGCCTAAGAAGATTCAGAATGCTCTCAGTCTCTAATGATAGTTTGGAACACCCTGGGAACACTGGGAGATTAAGAGTAGCAGCCCAACAAATACTGAAAGGAAATAAAGAGTACTTGTGAGAAAACGTGCATAGAAATCAACCCAGAAAGGGGAGAGTGTCAGTAAGCTAGGCAGCACAGTCTGGAAATCCTTAGTAATAAAACTCACAACTACTATTTTTATTAAGTAACCACTTACTTATTTGCCAGCCACCATACAAGTATTTTACTATACTCACTTAATTCTAAGGATAATTCTAAGAGGCAAGTTCTATCACCTTCACTTTACACTTAAGGTAAATGAAGCTCTGAAATATTAAAATACTTGTCCAAGGTCACACAGCTCACAGGTAACAGAACTAGGATTCAATCTCAAGTTCACCCAACTCTAAAGCTGAATCACAGAACTTTCTCATGTCTTTGATATGTCCCACCATCCTGGATAAAAGGAAGGAAACTTCTCCAGGTTTCTAGTTACCATCTGAGGATAGTCAGGCACAAGAGATCAAACACTAGGACTATAAAGACTGACAAAATACCAGAATCTTCCTAACTTCCACAAGTTTGTTTTTCTCTTACCTCCTGCTTGACTAGAATGATGACCAGCAAAACTGTTAAAATAAAAACAGCCTATATGCTCGATGTGAGATGCTGCAAAGAAATGGGACGCTCAAGAATCTGTATTTCACTCTATAATAAGCCTGTGTGGAAAAACTGTATATGGTGAGAGAGCGCGTTTTAGTTCCAGTAGGAACCCAAAGCTGTGCTCAGAAAGACACCAGATTAAGAGCAGGAAATAAAAACATTTTAGTTCTTTTTTCCCCACTCTACAAAGATAACTCCCTGCCAAGACTAGTGAGTTACCATCAAAAAAAAAACAACAAAAACAAAAGTACATCTATGTCAGTGATACTAAATATACTATTGTTAAATCTTTATTCCAGGATTAACTTTTAAAAATAAAATACGTGACTTCGGGCAACATGGTGCTATAGACAGAAGCACCACGCTCTGCCTCCACAGCAAAGATCCGAAAAACTAAGTCAAACAGATTTACACGTCAATACTGAAACCCTAAGCATCAAATGAAGAGATAAAGAACTCAGCCAAGCACCGAATGGAATAAGAAACTGACAGAGAACAGAGAGCAAGGAGAGATACATGCAAAGGTCCCCTATCAGCTACCGCAGCACGGATCCGCCATTTTGGACTCCTATCGGAGATGAGCAAACAGGAGGTACGAGAAGCAGCTTTACAGAGCTTCTAGCAGGAGACAGAACCACCGGTAACCAGCAATATACGCATTCCCACGTCCCACCCTTCTTCATCCCTATTTGGCCTCCTCTGCCTCCTGTGGCCACAGTCTCTTGGCCAGGAAGCACTGGCTTCATCCTGGTGTTCCCTGGATTCCACCCGTCCGCACTGGCCGGCTCCCTGAGTGCCATTTGTTGGCTGCTGGTGTTGCTTTTTTCTGCTTCATTAGATTTCTCCCTTACCTCTCACCACCTCCCCCTCCTTTCTCTCAAATACCTGGCTCCGTATGCCATCTTTGCTTCTTCCTGAAAAGGCTATGAAACAGCCCTCAACTGTAAAACTGCTTCCCAGACTGTGCCGCCATGCTGGTGGGACCCCCAGGGCCTTTGTTTGTTTCTTTGTTCTGATTTGTTTGTTTGTTTGTTTTTTCTTTTCTTGGGTTGGGAGCCTCTTCTAGCTTTGCAGTACCGAGCAGCTTGGGAGCCACTCCCTTAATCTGCGCAGATGAACAGTTACATCCCTAACGGCATTTCTTCTTCTTTTTTTGTTTGTTTTCTTCTCTCCCTTTTTCCCTTTTTGTCTTTTTTAATTTCCAGTTTCCTGTCTCTCTATACTTACCTTCTCTTCCTGTCTCCTGAATACCTGGCGCTGTGTGACACCTCTACCCCTTCCCTGTCTCCTGAATACCTGGCGCTGTGTGACACCTCTACCCCTTCCAGCCAGGCTGTATTTCACAGTGTGGGAGCAACTTTCCAGGTCCTAGCAGCTGTACCGGTAGGATCCCTGGGGGCTTTTCTTTTTTGTTTTCCCCCTCAAATTTTTATTTATTTATTTTTTGTTACCATTTTTCTTTTCATTTCAGTTCCTCTCCATTTCTCAGTCCCTCATCTTTCCACTCCAATATCAACCTCCCTTAGTACTCTTTTTTGTTTGTGTGTATCTTTTTGGCTCCTGTTCCTCTCTCCTGTTTCCCACACTCATCGTAGCTCCACACATCACAATCTCCGCCCTCCTTCCTGCGTACCTGCACCATGCGCTGAACATCACAGTCCAAGCAGCAGAGGCACGACCTACCAGAATATGCCCTACACTGATCCCCGGTCCGCCCTGTTGGTCATAATACGTGCCACAAACAACCCGTCCTAGCCACTCCCCTTTGGCTGGACCTGCCCTGCTGTACCATACCTGAGTGACAGAGCTTGTGTACTGGAGAAGAAGGTGAAAAGTATCGTACCCACAGATGAGCCAACAACAAAGAATGCACAAGCCGCCTGCTCAAACATAACCAAATAAAACAAAAAAGTAGGACAAAACAAACAAATCTACAATCAATAAACGAGGAAAATAACTACTGAATGCCCGAACACAGCAGACAATATTAAGACATATACAAAAACAGGACAGGATGAGTCCAGTAGGCGTCTAAAATAAAACACCAGATGGCTTTCCAGTAGATGAAAAGGCACTAGAACTACATAATACGGAATTCAAATCTCTAATATTCAGAATTATCCAAGAGTTGAAGCAGAAATCAGACAAAAATGAGGAAACAATAGACAAATTCATGGAAAAGGCAGACAAATTCATGGAAAATACAGACCAAAAAAAGAAAAAAGTCAAGAAAATAATACAGCAACAAAATGCTAAAATAAATTCACAACTACAAATCATACAAAAACAAGAATCAGAAATCCAAAAGATAAACAACAAGATTTGAGAAACAGACAGTGTCACAGAAGGGCTCAGGAGCAGGTTTGAAACGATGAAAGACAAGATCAGCGAAACTGAGGACAAACACTTGGATACAACTCTGTTTGAGGAAAAATCAGAAAAAAGAACAAAGAAAGACGAAGAAACCCTGAGAATTACGTGGGATACAATCAAAAGCAAAAATCTGTAAGTGATCGGAGTTCCAGAACAGGGTAAGAAAACAGAAAACACAGAGAGGATCATTGAAGAATTGCTGACAGAAAACTTCCCCAATATCATGAAAGACGAAAAGCTGACTATCCAAGAAGCTCAATGAACCCCATATATGATAGACCCCAAAAGAAAATCACCAAGGTATATCATAATCACACTCGCAAAAACCAAAGACAAACAAAGAATCCTGAGAGCAGCTCGAGAAAAACAAAAAGTCACATACACAGGAGAAACAAT